CCCCCCCCCGAGGGAGAGGGAGGAGCGAGGAAGATGATACGGGTCGGAGGTTTGGCACCATTTGGTATGTTGTTAGGGAGGATGGGTTGTGGTACAGAATATTAATGTTGTGTTAATATTTTTAATAGGCTCATTATTCTTCTGTAATTATTTTGTGTTTACAACCTTTCAACCTTCACCAGGGAGCTAGATGATTATGTGAGATGAATATTGTATTTAACTTGCTTGCTTATGAAGAAATACTATAACAAGTTATTTTACCAGCAACCAACATTTACTTTGCTCATGCTACAGTCCTCATGTGATAACTGCAGTACACACAGTTTATCGCTCTGTTGTCGCATGACCTAGTTGATCCTTGACTTTGTACTTTGATATGTTTTTACCAGGTAAATATTACTTTCTAGACATACTGTGTTTTGAGCTAAATGTCAGCACGCGCAAAATGATAAAACAGCATGCTGTTGTTCACCATGTTCAATAGCATGTCAGGATTATTATTTTAGTTTGAATGACTGGAATAATTCCATCTGATGAGACATGCTTTGCTTTCTCAAAGCTTGTCCCAAAGCCTCTGAATGTGGGAGTAGATTGTCATTTATTATAACATTTCTACCGGTTTGCCTCGGTTCTTCTGGCTTATTTGCTTTTTNGCTTCCATCCCAGCAGGGGCGGTTCTAGGGGGGGCCAGTGCCCCCCTAACACTGACCTCTGACCCCCCCTGTGGCCCCCCTAAAAATTATTTTTCACTTTTAATTTTTAGGGGGGCCACAGGGGGGGTCAGAGGTCAGTGTTAGGGGGGCACTGGCCCCCCCTAGAACCGCCCCTGCTGGGATGGAAGCTAGGGGGCAAAAACAGCATCAAATAAAACTAATGAGTGATACGACAAAGGATATCTCCAAATCAAATATGCCACATTTTGGAAATTAATTAGATTGAGGACTTTTTGTGAGGTGCAGCAAAAATGTATATTATGTTTGGGTGGTCTAACTGCAACACTTCAATGTTTCACAAAAAGCAAATAAGCCAGAAGAACCGAGGCAAACTGGTAGAAATGTTATAATAAATGACTGCCAGTCGCCTGCAGCAGACCCACACTCAGAGCTGCCAGAGACCATGTGCTGTAAACCCATTTTCTTCACTTGCTGTGCAAAAACATAAATTACCATTACCCTGAGACTCCCGCTGGATGTTTGGCTTCAACAAAATGAGGTTTGCATTGTTATTCAAACAATGAAAGAACAGTCATTTTCTCTGCATCGCCGAGACTTCTTCTGAATTCCTGCTCTTTTTCACCCAATATGTTGCTCTGTATGTGTGGTGTTCATGGCTGTTACTCTCCATAGTCTGAACATGTATTACTGGTATCTGCACCTTTTCTTGATGGCTACTAGTTGAGCGTGTGACATGGGCTATAAAGTATTTTGGGAAATATGCTAATATGCTTTTATAGCAGAGTAGGAGGAAAATATATAAAAGCTTTATTATATCTAATTTGTTATACTTTTACAAAAAGCAAAGTGGTACTAGAAGGGTACAGACCTCCACCAAGGCTGTTACAAGTAAAACATAATTTATGCTCAATTTAACGAGTTCTACTTTGGACCATGCTTAACACAAAATAAATCACGACAGCAGTTTTTCCTCTGTAGTCCTGCTGAAAAACCAGATTTTTTTTTACAGAAATTCATGTTAAAAATCTTCTATTGTCACTCTGCATAAAGCTAATGTTTCAAAACATGTTGCAGTCTTGCTTTAAAGGTCTCCTATTATGCTATTTGCAGGCATATATTATGGGTCTCAGATATATATATATAAATATATAAAAAACATGTCTGTGTTTTGCTCAAAATACCAAACATATCATGCATGTTAGAAATCCCTCATATCCCTCTGTTTCAGCCCTGTTAGAGAACAGGTTCTGGGTCCTTAGCTTGAGAAAAAGGTGGAGCTAATGCCTGATTATAATTACCCGGCAGACAGCTAAACGATGCCGTGATGAAACGCCATATCATGTTCTAAACCACATCAAGGATTATTTCTGAAACAGTATGGAGCTCACATGCTTTTTCTCTTGTGGGTTTACCACAAGGTGAGTTCCTTTTTTTATTTCCTGCTTTTATTACACATATTCTCTCCAGTACAGGTTAGCTCTGAATGTTAGCGATGCTTGCTAATGTAAACAAAGACCATATAACGTCCAAAACACGTCAGGCTTTGTTTCTGATAGCAACTTTCTGATTGTGCCGTGGGTCCACATTTCAAAATCTGGATCAGCTCCGTTGTACCCCCGTTTTTAGAGATTTGGGTACGGAGGAAAAGAGAGAGGGTTTTGTTCTCTGACACTTTGTGAGTTCCCTGAAACACAGGGGACACATATTGATGAATACAAGACATACAAAAGTGCATTTTGAATGATAGATCCCCTTTAGGAGTGAGAATATTTACGGTCGACAAAAAAGTAATTTCTTTGGCTTTTTCTGTCAGCAGGAATACAGAAAAACAACTGGCCCGATTTGAATGAAACTGGGTGAAAAGGTGAATCATGGGTTGACCTTTGTTACAGGTGTAGTTTACATAAACCAACCATACTTGGGCTCTTTGGGAGTCAACAGAAAAGGAACACACTTGAACCCACCTCCTTTTGAGCTTTATCTCGTCTTCATCTCCTCCATGGTGGGCTTGTAAAGCAGCAGCTCTGAAACATCATCTCCTATACAGGGCTTGTCAACTAGCTGAACAAATTAGAGCAGTGTTACTTTCTCTGGGAAACTCCTGTTAGCTAAAAAAAAAAAGCAAGAGCAAACATTACTTTCCAGTGTGGTCATCTTAAAAGTATACTTAGCTTTTGGAAAAGGCACGGTCTCTTAGAACAAACACTCTTCAGAACGTGGCTGAGCTTTTTGGGCAGGCTGTAAAAGCAGTATTACTTCCCCTTCACTGGGCTTCTGAGGGAAAACATTTCTGTGGAAAGGAAATGGTTTGAACCCGGGAGGTGTTGTGTTCCTCCAGGGCCCGGCTCCAGACATGCCTTTCAGGAACTCAGCTCTCAGGAACTTGTATTCCCCTTTTTAAGAAGAGGAGGGAAAGAACAACTGCAGTAATAACCTCTACAAATACTTGTTTCAAAGGGAGATACATGTCAGCAAAATCTAAATGTTAGACTGAAGATGTAATTAGCAGACGCTCATGTTGTTCCTTACGCACAGTCCCACCTCTTTTCTGTTATTCCTAGCTGCATCTGGCCGACACCACTGTTTACATATCTCAGAGACTGTTCCTCAGAGCCATGATGACCTTTAGAGGAAGGACTCAGAGAGTGGGCTGTTCTACTCAGTCCGAAGCATTTCTGTTTGGTATAAATCACCCGTACATCAAATCAAACACACAAATACCTATATATATATCATTATTTCTCTCAACTGATTTAATTTGTATCATATTCATGAATTTTAATTATTCAGAGGATTTTAAAAAAAAAAAACCTTTTACTTCAATCTAGCTCCTAAAAGGCAATTCTGACTTTTTAACATTGGTTTTACCATTTTATGCCATATAAATCTGCTATTTCCTGTAAGATAAACATCGTAAAACTTGCTGAAACTATGACAAAACTAATCAACACCTAATAAAAGAATATTTAATGTAACATTTTTAAATATGATTATCATTGAACCAAAATTGAGTCGATTAAGTTTAGTACTCTAAATGATGAAATGAGGCAGCTAAATCTATACTGTAACATTATATTGATAACGCTTATTGTTCTTCCTTAATGTGCTATACTGTAGGAGTGCACACTAAGTAATAGCAAACAAATCTGAACATGTTTGATATTACTACAACTATGGTATATGTTTGTCTTAGAAAAATTCAACTTTTGTACCACGTCTTTCAGAATTAGCCTGTAGTGCTCTGCCTTTTTTGAACAATTTGCAATTGTCTACAAGCAAAAAGAAAATCTCTCGTCTTATATGGATTTCCGCTGGCTGCCATGCGTCTGTGATCAACGGCCTCACACACACACAGCTTGTTCACTGGCTACAAAGACTCAAGACTTTTCTGCAGCATTAATAGGCGCATAAATGGAGGATGGCCATCTTCTTAAAGAATCGATGTGAAGCCAAGTGGGAGTCAAGCTGTGATCTGGGTTGATGGCAGATCACAGGTTGGCATTGAAGGCCACGTCTCTCCTGAGAGAAAGAACAAGAGAGCAGGGGAGACGCTCTGCTTTCCTCAACTGCACGGACATCTTGCATTATTGATGATCCAGTGGGAGAAGTTGAAAGAGGGCGTGAAGTACCACGCACTTCAACAACTCTCCCATTTAGCCTGTGCCTCGGGTGGTGTTTGCACTCCTGAGATCTCGGAGTCTTCTTGTGAGCTGGAGGATTTCCTTTTCTTTTTTTTCGTTTCTCATTACTGCTTCCCACTAAACACATAGAGCTTGCAGTCACCTGAGAGGTTCTACGCTCGGGGAGAAACAGCTCGCCTTGGAGCAGAAGAACTCGGAGAGAGTGACAGAAAGTCTCTACAATGTTACGCATGTGGGAAACACATGAATATCTAATGCCAATGTGATAATGAATGCAGAGTAAAGGAAAGAGGAGGAGAGCGTTCCCATTCAGACCGCAGACATGAATCAAACAGTTTTGAATGGCCTGTCTTTGCACCGTTACTCGACAGTTTGAATCCAGCTGTGAGCTGCTTGTTATCATTTCCCACCACTGCACCTGCTTGAATACTAAACATATATAGTATATGAAGGCCTTACAGTTAAAAGAGCCTTGATCTTCTTGCAGTGCATTCACCTCTGCAGGGGGTGCAAAAGAAAGACATGTATCAACAGCAGGGGAAAAACATGCAGGAGTGCTAATTAAACCAGTAAAATGAATTTTCTCCATATCCTGCAGAAAACACCAGAGTGTGATTTTGCAAATATACTCTGGATTCAGTTTAGTAGCAGGAAAGAAAACAAGTGTGAAAGTACTTCAACTCTTTATTATTATTTTCTTCCACGTGTTATTGCTGTTTTAGCTTCCCGCCTCATGCGATGGTGAGAAAAGCCGCGTTTCTGGGTGTTAAAAGCTTGGCCTCTGGGCGTTTAACACCTGCACCGTCACTCTTATCTCCTGCACTGCTTTTCCTCTCCTGTCCATTTATTATTTCTTCTACCTGTCAAGGGTTAGACCTGCGCTCAATTGACTAAAAAACTTTACAGTAAAATCTTGCCACATGCATTTGATGAAACGCATGTAGTAAATGATTACTTTCATTATCTGCCAATCATATTCTTGTGTTTTTTTAACACTTAATCCATGAAATATATTCAGAGAAAATAAAAAATGAGCCAATTCCATTACATTTGAAAAGCTCAAACTAGTATTATTTGGGGCATTTGTGCCTAAAATCGGACTTTAATCCGACCAATTCATCTTACAGTCGGTTAATTGTCTTTAATAACGACTTATTGACTAATAGTTGTAGCTCTATACCGATATAAGTATATAAAATGTCAGCTTAATTGATGAAACATTTTGCTGGTGGTTCAGGATTTCTCAAATTGAGTGTCTGCCAAGCTGTCTTTCTCCAAGGCCCTCTGTGATTGCCCAATTATCGTCCCATTGTGTGTGGGGGTGCATTTAATAACCCACTCTCCACACTGACACATGTGCAATACAAAGCTTTCCTGCATGATTTTCGAGGGTTTGCCTTCCTACTTTGTTGTTTCTCACAACTCAAATATCATAAATTAAATGCTTTTGAAGGATTACAACAATCCTAAATACAAAATCTATTCGTATATGGCATTTATTTTCTACTTTAAAGCATGCAAGTCAAAATCTAATTAAAATACAAGTAGCTCAAAACCTTCCTAAACCATCTCAACTCTGTGAATGAAAACTAAACACCCACACAGCCACAAATTGATGTGCATAAATCAAAACACTGCTTACTTCTATCCTCTCTTTTTCTTTTCTCCTGACTTTCTGTTTCTTTTCTTTCCCTCCATACTCGGGTCCAGTGCTTTTCAGAAGGCGAGGCTTATCCCAACATCCCTGTGATCACTCTGTGAAATCTGCAGAAAACAATATTTCCCACAAAAGTTTGCACCACAGAAGAAGCATCATACAAAATAACATTTTAAGGTAGACTACTAGCAAAAATAAAATGTGTTCCCTTTACTTTCTAACATACATGTGACCTTAACAGTGCAAGAATTGCTACATGTATTCTGCTTAACATTCTAGCCACTACAAAGTAAAATAAGATTAGAATTCATTACAAAAATACTAAATCTGTCCATTGGCTAATAATTTATACAATAGATTATTCATCATTAACTGGTATATGCTATGTTTGGACTGTGTCAAAGTGGACGGAATAATGAAAGGTCCTGATGTGGAGCCCAGTGCAAAAAGAAGAGGGTCTGACAGGAAGTATTGCATTAAGAGTTGATTGATAAGTGAGGAGTCTTGGTCCTCCTAACTCCTCTGAGGGACGCTGGGCTCCTCCTGGCTGATGTCCAGCAGCTCGTCCTCGGAGAAGCTGATGTGAAGGCAGGTGTCGTTCATGGGGGGGGAGAAGGGCGGAAGGTGCTCGTTAGTGTCCGGGCGCGAGGTGGGATCAGCAGGGTAAGACTCTGAGGAGAAGAGATCATTTCTGTCCTCCAGGGGACTGTCGCAGCCGCTCGAGGCCGTTAGAAACGTCCCGCGGTCACCGAACAAGTCGTCGTCGTCGCGTAAAGGAGACAGCAGCGACTTGGTTTCGGACCGGACCCCCGAGTCCTCGCTGGCCGAGCAGGAGCTGCTCTCGCCGTTACAGAGGGAGTGGAAGTCTGCGGAGCACAGGGAGCTGGGGGTGATGTCCGGGAAGGAGAGGCTGCTGCTGCTGCTAGGGGCCCCGTCGTTAGCCGTGACCTCCCCGGAGCCCGGAGAGAAGGTCCTGCTGGAGCGCTTCCGGATCATGGAGGGTGGAGGGTCCAGTTTAGGGATCGTCTGTTTATATCTACCAGCGAGGGAACAGAGGGGGAGGGTTAGGGAAGTCGGACAAGATGCCACAAATTCAAATGAAAGACGTTTCAGTGGCATGATCATATTGCAACACAGCATGGCTAAGGAACATTGAACAAGGCGGCAGATTAGTTTAAGATCAGAAAAAAGCTTGGAATAGGGGCAACTTCAACCCCCCTTTTACGGATGTTTACGGGATCATAGTTATGTCATTGGATTGTAAAGACACCCAACAAATAAGCAAAGATACTGTAGCTTAATATTGCTGTTTGACATCATTTCAGACAACACCAAATATATTAAAAAAAGTCTGTCTTAAAGCGTCTCTCAGTTTTTGTCTCGGGGAGACTGGTAAAAACTGTTGAATTAGCCAAAACGACATTATCTTTGAACACCATCTTTAACAATATCACGCACATTATTAATGATTCAATCTTCAGAATTGGCTGTATTTCCAGTGTTGATTCATTGGAAATACATCACCTTGGTTTGCTATATAAATAAATGTCCCTCATCTATCCACTTCCATTCTGAGCCTTGAATCTGAGATTAGGCCAGACAAAGTGCTTTGAAAACACAAGCGCAGAAACAGCATACACAGGTGATATATACCGTCATTTTCGGACTATAAGCCGCGCTGGACTGTAAGCCGCAGGTGTTTTAAACTGTTTAAACTGTTTTTACTTTTCAACTTTCAAACTTAAACGGTGCGCTCCCAGCGCACGTACCGGCAGTGATCTGCAGCAGGGGTTTTCAACCAGTGGTACGGGGACAAACTGTCTTGCTCTCGTTCTGTCTCTCGTACCACTCTCGGTTCCACTTTTACTTTTGCGCACTACCTGTCTCACTCTTTTCCGGCCTCCAGCTTTTCCTGCTGGAGCCCGCCGCTTAAAGGTGGGGGTCGCGGACCGGCCATAGAGCCCATAGAGTTAAAGGTGGTGGACTGTAACCTGTAAAATCCATAGATTTAGGAGGTCCCCTAGTAGCCGTTAGCTGTAAAAATCCATAGATTAGCCGCACCGTTATATAAACCGCAGCGTCGAAAAATGGGAAAAAAGGCGCGGCTTATAGTCCGAAAATTACGGTACTTATATAACGTAGATACTAAGAAAGAAATCTGATTCTGAATATTTATATATCCACTGAACAAAAATATAAATGCAACACTTTTGTTTTTGCTCCCATTTTTCATGAGATGAACTCAAAGATCTAAAACATTTTCTACATACAGTACACAAAATAACCATTTCTCTCAAATATTGTTCACAAATCTGAAAAAATCTGTGGTAGTGAGCACTTCTCCTTTGCCGAGATAATCCATCCCACCTCACAGGTGTGGCATATCAAGATGCTGATTAGACAGCATGATTATTTCACAGGTGTGCCTTAGGCTGGCCACAATAAAAGGCCACTCTGAAACGTGCAGTTTTGCTTTATTGGGGGGGTCTGGGGGGGTCCGTTTTAACCCTAACCCTAACATGTCACCCATTGAGCATGTTTGGGATGCTCTGGATCGGCGTATACGACAGCGTGTTCCAGTTCCTGCCAATATCCAGCAACTTCGCACAGCCTTGAAGAGGATTGGACCAACATTCCACAGGCCACAATCAACAACCTGATCAACTCTATGCAAAGGAGATGTGTTGCACTGCG